AATGAGTGGATATGCAGCCAATACAGGAAGCAGGAAAGGACCCAAGGTGGAAAATGTAGACAAGCAGGCCTCCTGGCTACCCGTTCTGCCTGCCTGGAGCAGCTGCGGGGGTGCTAGCTAATCTCAGCACCCCGCTTACTGAGGACCTACTGTGTGCCAGGTGCTGTGCTATGACCTTTACATGCATAACCTCACTTAATCCTCCCAATAACCTACCCTGATCACCCCAAATTTGCAAATGTAGAAATGAGTCTCTGGTTAAGCCATTTGCTCAAAGCCACACCACTAGGACATGGTAGAGCCAGGATGGAGACCAGCACAACCTGATCCCCAACCATGACATTTACCACTGCACTGTGTCCCCTCACTGGGATCCCTCCTGGCTTAGGGGCCCTGGGTCCACAGACCCCAACCCAGACAAGAGAAGGGAAAGAGACAAGAAGACAAAGGGCTCATGCTGGAACTCCAAAAAAAGACGGGGACTCAGAGGTCCCATCCTGAGCACCTGTCCCAGCAACCCCTGGCAACTTGGTAGAAAACAAGGGACAACCAGAACTCCTCACTTGCCTTTTGTGACCCCACCCCAGCCCAGGCTGCCCGGCCCAACCTCGCCACCCTGCTCTGTGCTGCAGTCATCTGAGATGGGAGAGAAAACATGATGCTTTATCAACATCATTCTGTCCTCTTAAGGACAAAGATGCCTATGAGTCAAGTGCTATGATGCACATTTTATAAATGGAGAAACTGAGGTGCAGAGCAGCCATCCAACCTACTAAAGATCTTAGCAGATGGCAGAGCTGGCATGTGACACAAGGAGAAGAGTCAGGAGAGACACTGGCCAAGGGAGAGCTCAAGGGGCAGAGAAGCATGAAGTCTGAAACACTCACGAGGAGGCTGGTGGGCTGGTAAGAGGCAGGGAGGCCAGGTGGGGTGATGCGGGTGGTGAGACACACAGCAGGGTGCAAACCTGCTGAAACCAGGGTCAGGGAGAGGCAGAGTCAGGGGACAGGGCAGGTGACAAGAGGCCAGGTGGAGAAGCATGGACTCCAGTCCCCTACCTGGATTCAGGGCAGGCAAACCAGGAAGTCCTGGGCCATGTAGAGAGAAAATGAGGCCACCCATCAGAGATGGCTAGAGGCCTCTCCACCGCGCCTAGAGGGCTGCCAGTGGCAGCTCTGAAATGCCAGCCCTGCTCAGGGCACAACTCCACCCAGGAGGAGGGTTGTCCAGTATCTGTTCTAAAGACCCACCAACCCACCTCTCTGGCCGAACTCACCCTGCAGGGCAAGGGACTGGGTGTCTGCCTGGGAACCAGACATCCCCAGAACTCCTGCTCCCACTTCATGGGAGCCTCGGGAACCACTGGCTGTTTGCTAAGAGTATATACCCGGAGGTCCCTTTCAAGCATCCAGAAGGATGAGTGGGCTTCTCAGGTGGGTCCATGGAGGGGGAGAGGGTCAGATCTGGCGGGGGTAGAGGGGTTAGGGAACAGAGAGTGCTTAGTGCTCTGGGATTCTGAGATTCCTGGGTTATTTATTTTTTTTCCAGCCCCTCATCCAGGTCAGGCTTCCTGTATTAGGCTCTTCCCTCAGCTTTTTGCTGAGTTACCCCCTCCTCATCCTTCAGCTCCTTCCTCTGAACTCCCTGACCAGGGGAGACCCTCCCCTCATCGTGGGTGCCCACAGCCCACACATACTCTTCCATAGCCCTCAGCTCAGCTGCCGATATAAGTTGGTTGGATGAATGGCTGATGAATGTCTATTTCTCCCAGACCCTGAGCTCCATGAGGGCAGGGACGGTGTATTGTCCCCCCCACCACTGTATCTCAGCACCTAGCACACAGCGCATCCATAGGATTTTCCTTGAATGAGTTCTTTTCATTCCTTCACACAGAGACCCTCCCTGTTCTCAAAGGACTTAAAAGGCTCAGATACAACATGTCACCTCATTTAATCCTCACCATAACCCCAGATGCGTTGCTGTTACTTTCACTTTACAGGTGAAGGAATGAGCTTCAGAAAGGTGAAGTCACTATTCAAATGCACAGCAAGTAAGTGGCTTTGAACTCAGGATTTGCACGTAGATAGGTCTGGCTTCAGAGCTGCAGCTCTACCACTACACTACCCTGCTTTCCTGCCCCAAGGTCCTCTGGGTCTTCCTTTGCAAACCTTCCCCTGCCCCCAAAACAGCCTGAACTCAGAACTTTCTGACAGGCAGAATTTATTCATTCATTCATTCAACCAATCAACTCACTCACTGCACGGGGTGTCAGGGAACCACAGACACACCAGAGGCTTTTCTCCATCCTGGCCCCCCACCCCCACTGCTTTCGGGACTTTGCCAGCAGAAGCCGAGCCCCAGGCAGCTGCCCTGTCCCTAGGCTCCCTCGCAGTGGGGAAGAACCAAGGGCAGGGGCCAGTCACTCCACTCCTCTGCGGACGGCAGCCTAAATTACCGGTGCTGAGTAACGATGGGTAGGGTCATGGTCCTTTTTTCTCCATCATTCTCTGAGAATCCTCGGGCCAGAGGAGGGACAGGATTCTGCCCCCTCCATCCCCTATCCCAGACAGCTCTGGAAAAAGTTCTGGTCAAGACTAGGGTTCTAGCTCTGGGTCTGGGGGCAGCTGTGGGACCTGAGGCGAATAAGCCACTGTGCCTCCCTCTGAACCACAGATTCCTCACCTGTAGAATGGAGGCGACAACAGTGGGGATTCTAATGCCAACCCCACAGGGTTGTAGGTGAAGATTAAATCAGTCAGACCAGAGACACAGTGATCACATAGATGGCTGGCCTGGGAAATGTCTTAGCAACACAGGGACCTACAGGGGCCGGCTGCTTGCAAAGGATGCATCTGACTGTGTGGTTTGGGGAAGGGTGGTTGGGGGCGTCCTCGTGGGCGGAGGCCAGGGCCTTCCCTGAGTGGACCATCAGAAGTAAGAGGGCCTACCCTGGCTCAGTGGTAGTGGGGGAGCTGTGCTCACCAGCCCACCGGCCAGAGGCCTGAGGGAAGAGGCTGGAGATGGGACGGAACACCCTGACAGCTCAGCTTTCCCCAGACTGGAGGACTTACAGCCCTCTAGAGAGCACGTGTGCGGGGAACCTGGGACTCCCAGAATCAGAGCTACTCCCAGGCCCATCTTAGAACAAACACTCTCTCACTGTCCCTCTGTAATAGGCACTGGATTCTAACGAGTCTGGAAAGTTACTCCTCTTCATCACACACACAGCTGCCATGTACTGGGTCCAGGCACCAAGCCAGCTGCATTATATATGCTTGCTCTTTGACACTTCACAAAAACCCTGTCAAAGAAGGTTCATTATCCTCCCCCATTCTACAGATGAAGAAACTGAGGCTCAAAGAGGCTAAGTGGTTTCCCCAAGACACAGAACGAGCTCGTGGCAGACCTGGGATTAACACTCAGATTCACCCAACTCTACAGCCCGCACTACTTCTAAAGGTAAACTGGGGGAGAATCACTGACAAAAACGCAGAGAAAAGATCACTCCTGCCTATGCTGCCTATGCTTGGGTGAATTTTCCCACTGTAGCTGGTGATGAGTGACTGAAAGCACAGGAAATTCTTGTGCCCTCCGCTCTTCCTGGTGGCGCAAAGCCTCCCCTGGAGTCAGCAACGCCAAAGCTCCCTCACCGCCCACACATCTACCCAGTGCTCCAATACCCTGTGCTCTGCCGGGCCGAGACCCCATTCTCAGGAATTCATGCTCCCAACTGAGGAGATTAAGTCTCTATTCTTCAGAAAGGGAAACTGAGGCAGAGGGGGCAGATAGTGGAGAAGGGGGAATACGGTACCCACTGTGACTGTCACATCTCCAACCTCTGAATCCACAGTCTGCCTTCTGCCTTGCCTGGTGGCACTGGAGCCCAGAGAGGTGTAGGGTTGTGCCCTTGGTCAACCAGCATGGATGACTCATTTCTAAGTAACAGTAAATACCAGGGCATCTTTGTTATAAAGGTAGGAGACTTCTTTCAATCCCTTTTGTCAGGAAGGCTGCTTCTGGGCAAGCCGAGGGTATCTTAGACTCTCTGAGACGGTCCAGCACTAGACAAAAATACTAAGAAGAGACCTTTGCTTCCTGAGGTGAAAGCACAGACTCCACAAATCACGTTTGCCTTTGCCAGGAAAAAAAAAACTGTTAGAGGAGAGGAGGAGGAGATGAGAGGGGGCATTTGTGAGGAGGATCTGAGTCCTCTATGAATCACCTCCAGAGCTCAGGACCGGAAGGCCACTGGGGAAGGAAGCATACAGCGACTGGCCGCCCACTGTGCCCAGGAGCCATGGCTCTCCGCTAGCCAAGGCACACACAGGGGCACAAACACAAGTGGCAGAGCCACTCTGGACACTCTCCTCCCCCTGGGGTTTCAGGGGTCTGACAAGGAACAGAACATTCTCATACGGAGAGAATCACAAACTGACGGCAGGGGACAAGCACACATACCAATACTGGCCCCAAGAGATGATCTCCAAATGTGACTTGGTAAGTGCTCCTACAGCGTGATGCAGACACACAAGCACTCGGGCGCCCCCCCAACCCTTACAATCCACACACTGCAGTCTCCCCCGAGGCCCACGGCACCTCAGGCATCTCTGCCCACCCCAACAGGTTTTTGGAGGTCCAAAGACACATTTGTACTGTCACAAACAGAATCACACACTCACAAACTGTGACAGACACACAACTGTCGCCAAACTGTCCCACATAGCCAGATACAGAACTAGGGGGATGCCAACAGATGATCGAATGTTATTTAGTTAAACACACGCTCTCGGGCGCGCGCGCGCACACACACACACACACACACAAATACAAACGCCAGCGTACCCCTCGCGATGGAAGTGGTCTCCCCCTGAGCCCTGGGCGCCCCCTACAGGAAGTGCGGAGGCCCAGGGAGTACGGGATCCGAGGTCAGGGTCCCAGGCCCGCGGTCCCCACCCTCATCCCGGGGCCGGGGCCCGCGCACCAGCCAGCAGCGGACTCACCGGACGATGCCGAACATAACGAGCACGTTGCCCAGCAGCCCCACGGCGCACACAGCCGAGTAAAGCGCGGTGATGGCGATAGCCAGGGCGAGGGACGAGGCGCTCCGG